TATGTATAATAGTAAATAAAGGCCCATTATTATTATCATTATTGTTATCATAATTATTATTATTACTAGGTACTATAAAAACTGTAACCCCTTTTTTATTGATTATAAATTTGGACCAAAACTTCTTTTGACTATATTTGAACGGGTAATTTTGTTTGCAAATCTGTAAGCTACTGACTAGCTTCTGACTGATATATTTGAAATTCTGTTATTACAGGGCTGGGCTAAAATAAATTTATCGGTACCTACCGTCAAACACAAAGCTCACCCGGTACATTGTTTTTTAAAATTACGAAACATAATTTTTAAACACCCAGGCAGTAAAATCTGTGTACTCGTACATAGGTACACTTTTTTATAAATAATAAGTTTTGACTGAAACGAAAAATTCAGCATCAAGTAGTAATACAATTAAACGATTAAAAAACACTCTTAACACCAAACAGTAAATTTAAAATATCGTCGCCGAAGAAACAATACCGCCTAAATCGCAAATGGCAAATTTTTCAGAAGTCCATAAAAACTACATAATTTAACAGAATTTTGAGATTTATTTTTTTTTAAATAGTAGACAATCTCGCACGAGTTTTGCGGTAGTACCTATTCGACTTTATCCACTTAAAACGATAGATGTAAGCGGTAATTATCGAATAAAGGTAAAATCTCAATTTCTAAATAAAATTGACATAGGCGGTACTGTTTCTTCGTCGACGATATGTGGACGTAGTCGTTACCTATTACGTGGTCCTACCCCTATCTATTGCATAGGTAGTCCTTGCTTCAGTTTCAATAATTTTATTCATTTTTATATTTTTTTTCAATAATATTTTTATTATTATCTATTTCAGGAGATAATGACACTGTACTGGCTTGTACTGTGCCTGTATATTTAAAACTTTTTAACAAAAAATTAAACCGACGAAAGGGCAACTGAAAAAGAGAAAAATCAAATAAATTTTTTAGTCTTATAATTAAGCTCCTAAACGTAAGTAATCTAATTTGAGTCGGCGCCAAACAATCAATCAAATGCGCGTATTTTCGCCGGAAATTGTCGATTGTAAAATGTCAGCAAGACAGTTGCCAGAACGGCCACACGTCGCTGCTAGTGCTCGTGAGGAGAGCGCATTTTTTGAATATTTATTACAGTTTATCGCTGGAGATTTCACGGTATTTTTATGTTAATTTGTTTTGATTATCTATTTAAAGTAATTAAATGATACTTGTTGATTCTTTGTTTGGCGCCGACTCAAAATTAGTTAGGTACTTACGTTTAGGAGCTTAGTTATCAAGACTAAAAAAATTTATTTTATTTTTCGCTTTTCAGTTGCCCTTTTCGTCGGTTCAATTTTTTGTTAAAAAGTTTTTATTTTTTACTTTTATGTGGCTTAAACCTACCAATTACTATCTAGGTAGTTAATTCACTGGGTCAGAATTGTTTCAACCGTGAAGTTTGACACCTACCCACAATTCCAGGAATCGCAAAATCCAAGTGCCGTTAAGTTATGATTTTTTAAATTTGTGGTTTCAATGTATTACCGCCACCCCTAGGTCAGAAGCATTTGAATCGTGAAGTTTGACACCTACCCACATTTCAGGAATCGCAAAATCCTCGTGTCGTTAAGTAATAATTGTTTAAATTTGTGGTTAAAATATATTGCCGCCATCCCTGGGTCGGAATTATTTGAATCGTGAAGGTTAACACCTACCCACAGTTTAGGAATCGCAAAATGTTAGGCTATGATTTTTTTAATTTATGTTTTAAATGTATTAGGTACCGGTACCCCTGGGTCAGAATTATTTGAATCGAGAAGTTTGACGACACCCACCCACAGTTCAAAAATCACAGAGACGCATAAAAAATTTTATTCAAGGCGTCAGTCACTTCAGGAGCGAAGTTGGAACTTCGGGAGGAAGTTGGATTCATAAAAATGCGTCAATTGCAGGTCTGGTAAAACTTCTGTATATTATGTAGTTTTCTAACATGATACCCCCTTATCTCCGTCAATGACGAGGTACTTATTTAAAAAGAACACTATTTTTCTGAGCTTTTCAAATCTACTATCAGAAATGTCTAGCTTGTTTACTGTACGAGGGATCTTCAACAGTAATATTTTTAAATGGGACACGCTGTATATTTTTTATAAATTTGAATTTTCCTTGTTTTTCTGGTTACAAAAATATATAGTCACACTATGTTTGCTCCACTAATAACTGCTTAAGGAAGGTTAACAGGTAAAAATTCAGTGGGTGAACCATCAATCATCCCTTTTTCTCACCCTTAGGGGTGGACTATATTTTTCAAATTTAAATGGGACCAACTTTGAGGTATACCCTCTCAATGAATCATCAAAATCGGACGACTCTGTAAAAAGATATTCGTGGTCATACATAAAAAAAAAATATACGCATCGACTTGAGAACCTCCTTTTTTTCGTCGGTTAAAAAGCAAAAGCCATTAGGTACTTTCTTACGTCTTAAACGCAACTTTTCTCCAACTAACGTCTAGAGTAGCGTTCCCATTGTAAAATTCAATAACCTCTATCGTATAACAACAAAATCCCTTGCATTTCATACACGTTGTATTCACTTCAAATCAGAACGTTTCTTTTAACGGATGATTTACATTTCCGCACCGTTATGCGATGCTCAAAACAGGATACTGCAATATGACAACAGCCGTCCATCGAGCGAAGGTAATGAAAAACAAAGTCCACAGGTGTTTAATATACCAAATTGCAAATATCCTGCCTTATTATACGACTCATTAATGCAACTGCCGTTATGAATTTGTAAATATGTGTGCATGCGGTGGGCCAATAGAATCTGATGTTTATGGAGGGAATTAAGGTAGATAATTGTTTCGTAGTTAGCGATGCTTTACCCATGGATAATGACGCAATATTAAGTGAATAAAATGGTTGCGGCTATTATTTAGTATGTTTATTTATATATTCGCGATACTATGAGCGTCGGCGGCCCACTTTATGGATCAATTTTTTTATATTTTATATTTATCTCACTAAATTTAGGATATTTCATGACACCATTGGACAAATGCCGAAGTCAATTAGGAAGACATCCGTATTTAACGCCATAATTTTTTTAATGTTAAAATATGACGATTAATTTTATATCTATCAAAATAAAATTATTGAATATTTGTCAAATACAAATATTAGATTATATTTGAATTTTCAGTATACCACCATAAACATAGTACTATATACAGTGTGTACCAGCCAAATGGAATCAATTAGTTAATAAGTAAATGAGGGCGTTTTGGGAAAAAACGCTCGGACACGTCGATTTGTATTTTTATACTTCATTTTTATTGCAGGAGGAGTAAACGGTTTAAACGATAACAATTTACCACGGATACAATTTCTATTAATCTATGCAATTTACTGCTAGCAGGAATTTTTGAATTTCTTTGTACACGTCAAACAATCGTTTGTTCGTTTTCTGAGTGAATAATATTGATTTAAACTTTTAAAACACTTTAAACATTGAAGAAATTTTAAATTGATTCTGTATTTACATTTGCAAATAAGTCAAATGTCAAAAAAGTTTAATTGACAAATCCTGCGACCAAATGTTTCCTGCAAAGGTTGGTGTAAATCAGGCTGTGAATCAACCAATCAGTAACCTTAAAATTGTGGCGCCAAATATGATTTACTCCTGCAAAAAAAATGAAGTATAGTTGCGCATCTTTAAAAACAAAATTTATACAGGGTATGTCATGTCACAGTGGCCAATACCATCTTTCTTATTTTAAATGCAACTCCCTGTATATTATTCAATTTTTGGATTCTTCAGAAAATTCTAGACATATTTCATGTACAATGTCCTATACCTATCTTCAACTGTTTCATTACGTTTTGCCAATTATCACTACACTATTGTAAAAATTACAAAGTCGCATAACGAGAAACATTTAGTTAATAACACTGCATATTTTTTATATTACAGAATATAGTAAAATACGGCTTGCATTCTAAAGATTTGTAGTAACTAGTATAATATGATTGGTAAATACTACAAATTGAAGTAATTTAACATAAACCTTGAGTAATATATCAGAAATTTTGAATAAATGTATCATTATCTAAATTGTTCGTTAAAAACAAGTACATCAGATGCCAGATTTGATGTTTAAGTACCACAACTTACGTACATCTAAAACTCTAAACTGACTAACGCAATCTGCACCATCATTCCCGTAACCCAGTTATTAAGCAACGCTTTCGAGTGCGAACAATGTAACACTGCTAATATCGTCCCCAGGGGCCGAGCCGGAACGAAGTATTAGCGCCACGCCACTGGGGAAATCGTCTGTGACGTTTCTTTGCAGGCGGAAAACAACGAAAATGTTTTTCGGTCGCAGTGGCAGCTCAGGATCTGGAGCGTCCTGACGTTAGACAAATGTTTATTGGATCGGTAATAAATTATTCAATAATTTTCAGGTGTGAACAGGTGTTTAACTCAAAATCGACTCTATTGCCAAATATTGTCTTTTTTAACGTGGAATGGTGACCTAAAGGAACTAAAGGTCACCATCAGTCAAATTTTGCAAAAATAACTTTTTCTAAATTAAATGTATAATTGAAAAATTTAAATGAGTTTCAAAAATAACCAGTGGCGTAAAAATAGGTGGGGAAAATGGGGGTGCCTTCCTTTATCTTAATCTTTCGTTTTGTGGGAGAATTAAAAAGCTTAACGCAGCCGGGGCTTAAACCCCAGGACCTTTGGCTTTCCGGGGCAATGCTCTTCCAACTGAGCTACAGCGCGTCCACACCGTAATGCTCTATTCGGGGTACCGTTCTTTAACTAATTTACTACAGCTCGACCATACCTGACAACACAGCCGTCTTCGGCTGCCGGCCATAATCCGACACCTTGGTAAACATAACTCCTCAACATAAAGGAACTGCTCGCTGTGTTGTCAAGCGAATTCACCATCCCACTTCTGAAGCTGTAGGAGAATTACAAATGCTTAACGCAGCTTGAACCCGGGCTTGAACCCGGGACCTTTGGCTTTCAGGGCCAATGCTCTTCCAACTGAGCTACAGCCCGTTATTAGGCCTTTAGAAATATATTTTCTTGGAATTCTCTATCATCTCCTAAAATAAATGCATTATAAACTGGACCACCCACCTAAAGATGAAAACACACACACGATATGGCTTGAGGCATTGAGGATATATAAAAAACAACCAGTATTTTTATCTCTGCAGATCGGTTTGATCTATTCAAGTACATATTTTTTGGTAATTTTAGATCCATTAATTTTAACACTGTGTGTACCTCGACCAGCTCATTTGTGATCGTGGCGAGTCTAGATTTTTCTTTAATTCGGATTACCGAATCTAAATTTTTAAGTTGTTCGGATTGCAGCAGTTAACTAACTGTCGATTCGGATTATTGGAAGTTCGGAATACAGTGTGTTCGGATTATGAAGGTTACACTGTAGTTGTATATTATGCATTCATTATCAACACCTCTATGTGGATATAGTCTATTAAATTTTTTTCGTCCTACATTTTTTCGTAATGTTTACAGTATTATAATATTTAGAAAATATTTAGGAAAACGGACATTCCATTAGTATTTACCGTGAGCAGTCACTGCTTTGTCGATTCTTCCGTCCACAGTTAAACAGCCCCTAGCTGCTCTCTAAACTCGAAACATTATACGGACTTATCCAAATACCTTTGTTTCTTTCGTCGATGGCAAACACCAGCACTTCATCATAACTTTGTTTAGAGATCGCTGTTTCGCTCTTGCCTTACTTATCTGTGCTTGATAAAAGGGAGTTTTAAAAAGTTGTTGCCGAATAATTGACGATGTTTTCTGAATTTTGCAATTTAAGATGTTCGTCTGTTCTTATCTTATTATTTATTATTACGTCTTCCGATATTATCTTATAAAACTATAAAACGTTCCTTTGGAAACGGTTTACGGCGTATACGTCATTTCGTAAAGTAAACATGTTAAAAAATACGCTTTATAAAGACAAAATGTGCGTAATTTTGTCTTTATAAAGCGTATTTTTTTTATACTAGTATGTATCAGGGACACTACGACTATATTATAAAATAGAGACATTTTAAAAATAAATTATATAGTATCTATATACATTTAAATCGCTAATAATAAATTTACAATAATTGAAGACGTCAAGCTCTGATTGGACTTTGGCATAATTAAAGCAAGTATTGGTATTTGGTAACGGTGGTCGGAAAGTACCAGAAAATTGTGAAGCCAATCTAAGTATATTTAAGCCTAGCCAGTCCGAGAATCGACCCCTGGGGAACACCTGAGGAGCAACAAAAACCGCACGCTGCACAAATAGGCTTTTGTCCACTAAGAATAAATCAGATGGATAAAAGTTTCTAATGATTAATCATGATAAGTAGACAACAAAACACAAAATTAGTTGTTATAAAAAATAAAGATTATTCTTATTTTTAGAAAATAAATTCAGCAAAATTAGGCATTCAGTAGCGTGGCAGCAAACACCAATCAGAAAGTGTGACGTCACGCCGTGCGAAACACCATTAATGTTGTTGACATTTTAGTAGAAGGAAGCAGGTTATTTCATAAATTGTTGGTAAATGAACAATTTTTGTCAAGTTGATTTGCAGTTATAGTTTGAAAGATAAGTATAATTCGCCATAGAATCAGGATTTAGCAAAGTAAATGGTAGTAATTTACCCAAAGTTGACGTCGTTATGCTCGGCAGATTTTTTGCGTCAAACAGTACTTTTGCTCATCGGAATTCCGCAATGTTAAAACTTTGATGTAAGTATACACAAGTGTAAAACATATTTTATTAAGGTTAGATTTACGAAGTTACAAGTGCTAAATAACTAATAATACAAACTTAATCTGCCAAATTCGTCAGTTTCGCTTTAGACTTAGAAATACATAGATTGTGTTGTGTGAAATACATCAAAATGATCTGCGTTCTTGAATTTGTTGATAAACTATGAACATCATCCCTCCTTGCAAGTTTTAGCCACTTATTCCGTATTTGTTCATTGTTAGGAACATAAATAAATATTTGTTTGGCGTTTTTATAGTTGTGCTTTTACACTGGGGCACTAAACAGTAGTTGTAATACGAAGAATTCTTTTTTAATTAAAGTTAACTAACATACACAAAAATAATTGTTTCGCACGGCGTGACGTCATTCAAGACGACATGACAGTTTTGAGCGTTTTTCGAGGTAAATTTGAATTGGTTTTAAAAACGCAAAACACATAATGTAAATAGTGTTTTTTTTTATTTGAATAATACTTTTTTGGTATAAATCAGATATTAAGGTAAAGTATAAACAAATTTTTACAAATTAAGTCAACTAGCCTATTATGGCTCGTCACTTAAATATGAATCCATTTAGTGATTTTTTCGGATATCTAGCAAACATAACAACAAAGTTGATCTACCACTCATGAAACTGCTGATTGACGTTGAGGGTGTATTTCACATGAATGTAAACCTGCGTATCTAGCCCGAATTCAAAGACCTTCCAGAAGTTCCATAACCGTACAGTGAAAACAATAATTATGTTTGCTAGATATTCGAAAAATCACTAGATTTTTAATTTAATACTACTAAAGTCACTAGATTTTAGTATTAAATTAAAACTCAGCAGCAATGCGTATGCGAGAGCTGAAGAACAGTCTTCTATCAAAAGCGAGGGCATATTGTCAGAGGGCATATTGTCAGGATTCATTGCCATATTAGGTTTTAGTTTTTTAATTGCGTTAGTAATTTAGATTGAGATGCCGATTGTACCAGAGTTGTTTTTTATTGGGTAGGGCTAAGAAAACCACTAACTTTGTGTAATACCGTCGCCGCTACGCCAGAATTCTGTTAATCATGAGTGGAAACTACCCACAGTTTAGGTATCGTACAAGCCACGTGCGGTTATTCCATTTGACAAAGACGGTTATTGGGTCAAAGCCTAAACCAACTGATATGAGTCTAGTACTGAATACTGAAGGCAGGAAAGTAATTTTCTCAACGAGGAGCCCTATCTGACCAAAATCTAGTAGAGATGAAGCATCTCTTCACTTTCTGGTACATTATTAACTATAAGTCAGGAAGACTAAGGCATGATGCATCGGGGTGCTTAATTTCTAACAATTGTTTTAACTGGAATAATAAAGGTGTTTTATTAACATTACCTAAAGCTATTAAAATATTGAAAACTGCAAGCACAACAAAGAAGAATACAATCAGACAATCAGACAGACAGGCGGACAAAAAAACAGAAATACAAATTATCCAGAATATGTCCGTTTAGACAAAAATATGTTTACCGTGTTATTTTGTAGACGGATAATAAAAATAACAAGTCTAACTCTAATAGTCCATCGCTGTTCTTGATGATAGCCGCATCAGTTACATGGCCATAAAAAGCTTCCAAGAAAAATGCAGCTCGTGCTCTACAACACTTGCTCCTATTAAATTGCCAAGTGACATTAGAACAGCGAATGTACGACAAATTGTAGCAGAATGGGATCGATAAATTGGTTAAGTAAAACGTGAAGCTGTTTCTCGAAGACGTTATAAGTTCTTACTTGCCCTAAAATCCGTGAAAGGCGGATCTTTAATCAATATACGATAATTTTATTTACGACTCTTATGTTAGAGTTCATATAAGGAAAAATGAAGAGGATTGTAAAGGAATGAAAAGGGATTATCGCCTTAGATCCAGGGAAAACAGAGAACAAAATAAACTGCAGGCAAACTAATTTCGTAATTATTGTTTCTCCACAGTGCAGTACCACTTGTGCCAAATATTTCGTATGTATTTTTAAGTCTTTGGTACCTATTTATTTTTAACTATTATCTGGAGATTGTAAAATATCCCGACAAATAAAACAAATAGTTTAAGCTCTTTCTAAAAAATGCTGCCACTGTCAGTGCCAACTCACAGTATACTAACAACCAGTGGGGCCAGTCATAACAACGATGAAAGTAATACTTTTACAGTCAATGGAGGAGATTAGTAATGAGCTTAATATTAGGAAATTGGCGTCGAATCAGTAGTTAAACTAACACGTCAAAAAAATAAGGCACACTTTTTATTTAAAAATCAGCAAAACTTCTCTACCGGCCATTTAGGGTACTTTGCTCTCGCTTACGGTCTAGATTCGTCTATGGACAAGCACATCTTTACCAAAACAAATGCTGGGACTGTCCAGGTTTTCGGTTAAATCACAGTATGTAATTACACGTTCTGTACATATACCGGGTGGCCGCCAGTCATTGTACGCCCCCAACTTTTGGTTGTTTTTAATTTAAATATTTCGTTTTTGGTACACAAGTGGGCCACTTTTTAGAAGTAGATACTTTTAGAATGCAACTTCTCTACGTACAGGGGTTCAGGAATTGATTCGTTGTGTCTTTTTGTATAAAATGGTTTTGTGGCATCTGCAATAAAGGTTCTAAAGACCCCAGTTATAAATGCTCTATTTACAATTTGTGTGCAATATGCAAGTGCGAGTATTCAACCTATGTCAGCAGGAAGGCATGGATACGTTGCATAATATCCAATAAATGGATATGTGGGAACTGTAATGGTGGTTCCAAGAAAAAACAATATGGCTGCGGAAATTTGTAGAGGATGACGCCTAAGCAATTTCTGGAAAAGGCCACCAAAGAGAAAACCAAATATGTTTTTTTAGTTTTTATAAGAAAAATATGTTTTTATTTTTTGATTATTATATGTTTATTTTGCATAAGAATATATTTATGTGATGTCAAGCAGAAGTTCCTATTTAAGTGCCTTAATAATATATACGATAGAATGTACCTGGGTTCATTTTTTAGAGTTTATTATATGTTTATTTTGTCTAAGTATTTTTAAAACTTGGAAATTAGTGTCGAAGTAACCCTATAGTGGGGTAATTTCAACTTCTCATGTATATTTATGTTATGTCGAAGTTGCCCCAGGGGCTACTTGGACTCAAAATGTAAAAAAAAAAAAAAAGAGTTTTTAAAGTTTTTTTTAATTCTTTTTTAAGTATCGGACTCGAAAGCCAAGGGTTCAAATGGTA